TGCATAAAAGATGGACGAAAACAATTCTTCAGGGGTGATTTCTAGTCATCACTATGTCTAATCTGTTTCCTTTTTTGGGACTTTACTGGTCTGATTTGAGACGCCAACTTCTAATCCCACGGGTTGAATATATGTCTCGCGACATAGGATATAAAGCGAGGTCCACATCGTCCAAAGAAGTGAAGGCGTTGTCTTGGAGTTCCTGCCATCGAAGCCTCACGCATCGTGTTGAATCAAGAAGTGCATCCAGACCACCCTGTTGTCACAAGATGACGCGCAAGTGTCCCTGACTGGGTTGGGTGCTTTCCTGACGTCCCACACCCATGGTCTCTGAATTTCTGGCAAACGCGAAGGTGAAGAGCTCTGTCGGCGAGTTGTTGGGTCGTCTGTCTCACTAGCGACCCAGTCTATGTGGTTGCACTTTGAATTCACGCCGAAGTTGCAGCCGACTGTTTCGGGTCCTACAGAGCCAGCTATTATCCGAGTAGGCGGAGTCAGGTCACAAACAAAATCACTGATACAGCTCTCGGAGCATTGACCTGTAGGTTGTGCTATCCCTGGGGCCTACAACTTAACCTGAACAGAGCATGAAAAGGTCATCTATGCCACTGTTTAGGCACTCGTATTGCACGTAGATCCCACATGAAAGCGAGCTTGTGCAGATCAGTATCTTCGTGTGAATGCGGTCTGGGCTTCAAGTGATGTTTCTGTGGCCGACAGTGGACGGGACCCGTGATGACCGCGAGTCCATGCAAAGGTGTTGGCGGATTGGCCAGACACACCGCGATTCCGCCTTCTGCAGTGGCCGAGGACTCACCTTGTCTTGATATTGCACTTCAGAACAACGGAAAACCTGAACACATGGATACGTCCTACTACAGCTTGTTGCTAGCCCTAGTAATCTGTCGTCAAGTCCTCTATGTCCAGCCCTTTGGCACACAGGGGGGTAGTCACAGCGCTGGCAACAGCGTGAGGAGCCTAACATGTAAGCGGAGTTCCAATTTTTCACCAAGCGCAATCGCAATAAAATCCACCAATTATCAGCCATCAAGTTGTAATAGCACAATTGTCTAGCATTCATATAGTGGAAGCTGTTGGCCGGGTACACTTTATAGCGCGTGAGCTTTCGTGCAGCTAGCCTCTTTGTTGCTAGTGTGAAAGGTGTCCGCAAAATGTAGCAAACTCGGTGTGGTTTCCTTTCTTTGCAAAAGGCAAGATCTAATATGCCTGCGATCCTGACCCACCAAACCTCGTGTTTACTGATCGCGCGAACTGCCCAGGCGGCAGTCCTAGGGCTATCATGTCTGTGTCGTTATCAGATTTCACGTCATTCCACCTAATAGGCTGTGTACTATAATTGCACGCGCCGAATCCTGGCAGCACTGTCATTGTCCCTCGACGACCACGGCCCACTCGCCAGACAACCTTTACTGAATGCCGTTAAGCTCTGCCAGTCGAACAGCCAGACAGGCTCATCTCCACGGGGTTCTCATATTTTGCCCACGAACCTGAACAGAAGGCTTCGCCATCCAGAATTCAGACATGGCTAAACGACCGTGTCCTCTGTTGACCACGCTCAACTTCGCTAAGTGCCAAAATAGGAGGGACGGCTTGCACAGCATGCGTCAACCTACCATAATTGGCCTCGAAGTGGCATGTGTTCGACGCCCAGCCTGTGTCCGGTTCATAGGTTCGAATGATAGGTTCCCGCTAAAGCTGCGTACTGTTCTTTTTTTTG